TATTTACAGTAATATGCTAGAATAAAAAAAAAATTATGTATTCAGTGATCTGTGTGCCATTCAATTTGCCTGCATGGACTGGATGCCAGTAACATAAGCATGAGAATGCAACTTTTGATAGTGTTTCTGCAGTATCTCTGCAAAAATGTGAATTTTGCTACTTGATGTGCCCTTTTCTGATTCTAACACCCCTCCGAGAATAAAAACAGTATTTTAAGAACATTTAATTGATGCATAAATATTCTTCATATCTTTGATGTAGAAACCTATTTTTCACTCTTTGCTTGAGACTGGAAAAAGAAGTTTTAAATAGTCTATCAAATATAACGGAGGACTTAAATGCAAAGTCAGTTTTGCTAATATCTTCAGAGTGAGAAAGAGTGCTTTGAAGCTTTCACTTTATGTAGGTGGAAAACACCTTTGACTGTCAGTTGTGTTAACGGAGAGAAACCTTCTAATTGTTCTCAACCCTGCCAAAGTGTTGTGTTTTTTGTTTTTGAGATTTTCTTCAAAGATACAAGAACCATCACGTTATTAGCGCATAACGTAATTAATTTTTAAGAGCAAGTTTAATTAACTGGTTGTATTGAAGTCAAAATTTTAGTGAAAAGATCTGTGCAGTATTTATAGTCGAGCTTCAAGCTCCCAAGTAGAGTAACAATTAGGGTCACTGCTAACTTGAGATCTCAAACTTATTTTAGAAAGCATGTCTTGAATATAGTGGGAGTTACTGAAGAGTCACTGTTGAATAAAGCCTAAAAACACTGGCCATTTCTTTCATGGCATGCCATGGACCTGCAAAACTGCCTCATAGGAAAGTGATTTCACTGTGCAAAGATGCTCACAGTCTTAAGGAGGAAAGGCAAACAAAACCATATGGGATTTTGATGTCTGTCAGAGAATGGGTAATTGAAATCTGGAGCTTTTGCTACTCCCTTATTTATCTGAAAAATAACAACTAGGAAATGTGTTATCAAGGTATGGGGAAAAGACAGGAATGTCTAAGACAAAGCCCTGCATAATGCTATAGTGCAGTGTTGCAGAATAACACTACAGGATGGATATGATAGAACTATGCAGCAAAAGGAAGGCAAAAGCTCAAATCTGACTATCAAAGACAGGTCTTAAATTTTATGACCAAGAAAAAAAAAGAAAATGAAAGAAAGAAGAAAAGAAGTTCAGCAAGCTTAAATTTTACATACCTTCAGGGACAGATTCCTTAAAGAGTACTAAACAATAATCAAGCAAGAATAAAGTATTTCTGCTACATATGAAACAAGAGAAATTTACGTAGAATAAAAAACAGGACCAGCCATACGACTTTGTGAAGCTAAATTACAAATATAAAACTGACCTTCTCCAAAGACAAACATCTAGCAAACTTTTCAAATTATTGAAATAGCTATCAGCACAGCTGCAGCTTTACTGAGGCAGACGTAAAACTTACCCTGATATGGTAAAATGAGTCAAAGACTCAATGACAAATTTCATCTGACAGCCTATCACAATGGACAGTAAGAAAACCTAAGTTCCATGCCTTCCTCTCAAACTTAACATAATATTTTCGAGAGGAAGCCACAAAACATACATTTTCTTAAATTTAAATTTATTTTGTTAAAGCTTATGAAATCTCTCTAATGAAATGTTTAAACATAACACATATAAATAAGTTCATCCATGTCTTGTATTTGCTTTGTGGTTCCTACTTTACTCATTACTATTTGACAAAATTCATTACTTTTTTTCTAGAAATTCTAGCCATACTCTTGACAAAACCTTATCTCTTGCACAGCACTCTCTAGCATCAATGGGAAAGCAGCAGATGTTGTTAACCTTGAATTTAGCAAGACTTTCAACACTGTCCCCCACAACACTCCCACAAACATCTCAAGTATGGACTGTGTAAACAGACAGTGCAGCAGACTGAAAGCTGGCTGAGCTGAAGAGATCAGAAGTTTGTAACCACTCTTGTGACCCGTCTCCAGTGGTGCACTCCAGCGGTTGATACCGATGTCCACACTTTAACTTCTCTGTTAATGACCTGTATGATGGGACTGAGTACACACTCAGCAAGTTTGCATATGATGAAAAATTGGGAGGAGGGGCTGATACAGCAGAGGGACACACTCCCATTCAGAGGCACCTTGACGGGCTGCACAAATGGGCCAACAACAACCTCTTGAAGTTGAACAAGGGGAAATGCAAAGTCCTGCACTAGGGGAGGAATAATCCCATGCACCAATGCAGACTGAAATACACAAAATATCATTTAAAGATAATAAAAGCCCTTTACTGTGAGAACAGTCAAACATTGTAATAGGTTCTCCAGAGATGTTTTGGAGTTTTCTTCCTTAGAACTATTAAAAACCCAAATGGACATAGTCCTGAATTCTAGGTGAATCTGCTTTGATCAGGAGGGTTAGGCTACATGGTCAATGATCTTGTCTCAACTCATCTCATATAAAAAATATTCTGTCCTTGAGAAAGATGCTGAAGCTCTCTATTAGATGATTAAACAATGAATTATTCAATTTAGAGCAATCTAGTTGGAAACAAAGGCGGTCCTCTGTCTCAGCATCCTTGAGATAACTGATCTTGAAGAAAATGGGGAAGGTAAACAGCAGAACAAGGACTGGGTCTTCATAAAAGCCTATAAACCAGTGAAAGTATGCACCTGAAGAAAAGCCAAAACATGCTGTATGTTTGAGAGTTTACAGAACCTATTTGTCAAAACAAAGAGACATTTAAAAGAAATAGTAGTGAATATTGCACATACAGCTAATTCTGCAAATGTATCTGGACACAAAAAGATTTAAAAGTCAGGGAAGATCTGCTGTATTACTGCTAGTGTCCATAAATCACAAAGATGGCTTCACCGTTTCCCCACTGTTTCCTACCTAACACAAAACCTAGACAACTAAACTGTCTTAAAAAGAAAGGGCTGCATATATTGAGGCTGCACTGTCCATATTACAAGACATCAGCTACCACCTTATCAAATTACTAAAGCACTCACATACACCAGTTACACAGTGAGAAACATTGCTAAGAGAGGCTTACACATATAAAGGGGAATTCTGCATTTTGCTTTAAGAAACACTAAATATACAGCAAAAGGTGACAGGACTGAACCGTCAACATAACCCTCAGGAATATGTAACCATCTGCTGGACAAAAATGAAGGATCTCTAGTACAGGTAACTGTTAAAAATGCAATATTCCAGCAAGTATAAAAAGCATATATATTGTGTATATAAAATCAATACAGGAAAGAAAAGTTCTGTCCTTCCAGCACAATCCCTAATTAATAAATCTGTTTAAGTACAGATTTTCTATTATTCAAAAGCAAAATTTAACTGGCAGTTAGGAGCTATGAACACAAGCACTTACCTTATAGTTTATAACCAATGGGGAAAGACGAAAGAGATGAGTAAATCTTCCTCACATGTTTGAAAACAACTCTACCACAGTAGAACAACTTGGAGGCCCCCAACATGACAAGAAGTAATTTACAATTTTAAAATATTTTCTTACAGAAAAGTCTATTTCAATTGTGACCCACTAGTATTTTTATGGTCGTCTTAGCTTAAAAATCTTGATGTTCTCGTGGCTTCTTCTTTACTATATTTCCTTTTTTACCTTCTTTTTACTATACTTTCCTTGTGTAAATAATATTCTGTACTAGTGGATCATCTTGAAGTATTAGTCAGTTTTGGACACAACTACGGTGGGAGCATATGTGAACAGCTATAACGTATATAAATCTATATTTGCTCATGCTATTTAGGAAGTCTCCATCAACACATTTAGCTGTGCTTCTGCATAAAGTAAAATTCAAGAAAACAGAATTACTCAGTTTGAGCAATATTAGGAATAGCCATTTAGAACAACTTATATGTTAATGTTCTTTGAAGGGTTAGTCCAATTATTTTAAATATTCACAGTATGTAAGACAGAATACATATTCTACAGTTTCTGTAAGATTTACACACTCTGGAAATAACATGCATCTGTAGAGCAAAAGATGAATAGTATTAGGCTCTAAGCTCTTTTCTTAAGGTAGAAAATGGAAATACAGAAGTTAATTGGTGTACGGCCATTTGCATTGTGAATTAGTGACTAAGAGTAATTTTGAGACTAGTGGTCAATCTCTTAGACCATGCTAAGGACCCTTTCCCTGGCTGCTCAGAAAAAGTAATCATAACTTGATTTGCAAAAAAAATTGCCTGCCTTTAGGATATAATTCTATATAATTATAGAGATTATTCCTATCTTTACTATCTAAATTTTAAATCTCTATTACTTGTTTTTAGTTCATTATATATTCCACCCTCCCCCTGGAATTCTTTTTACCCTTCTCAAGGATACAAAACAAAAACACTTCAAAATTAAGGTACCAATTTTCTGTCTTATTTTACAAGTGCCCAAAAAAAAGAGAAAGATATGAAATCATAAATTTTATTATTAAATACTGTGATTAGCAATGAAACAGATATTATTAGCAAAATAAGCATCACAAATGTGCATATTTGCACTACTTGCCTTTTTCTCAAATTCTTTCAATACAAAATGTCTTTAGAAGAAAAATCCCCTAAAAGTAATTAAATACAACTGCAAATGAACTACCAAGAGCTATGGTTCTTATATAAGTATATATGCTTTTAAATTCTATTATTTTTGAGTGTCCATATTTAAGATCTTTTAGTAAGCATTAAAATATTACTAAAATATTAAATGAAGAAAATCTGGCAGTCTCATAGTCTTTTAGGAGCTGATATCACAATGAAATAAGTGTACGGTTTAAGGAAAAAAAAGCATTACAAAGGAACACGCATCAGTGTTGGACTGTATCACACTGCACTTTATAAACAATATCACATATAACAAAACCAGGACACTTCCTGAAAGAGCTGCACAACAAAATTTAAAAAGGCAGAAAAAACATCCTCGTAAAGTTATTACCCATTCCCTACAAAGAGTGAAGAAATAAAGAAACCTACCACTTTCAGTAGTGAAAGAATACAGAGGATTCAGTGGAGTGCTGAGAGTGCCTGGCAGTCTTAGCTTGGAGTGTGGTGACAGTGATGATGGCGCAGGAAGCAAGAGATTTGAGCTCGCCTGTAATAGGAAGACAAATCAGAAAGTGAAGTGTAATTTCCTGGGTCCTTTACTGATGCAATAGCTAGAAGAGAAATATTTGCTTACTTTAAATAACTATTATGTACCAGTAAAAAAAAAAATAAGACTCAAGTTGACAATGAATAGCAATTTCAATTTTTTTTTTTTCAATATTTGGAGGTACAGACTTGGCAAAATTACTGGCACAGCTATAAGCTGAATTGTGTGTTTATATATGGACACTACCTCTCAAGGAATGCAAACAATGAAACAGAATTCTTTCAACCACCATCTTGCTGCATCTTTGTATATAAAAAGACATTTATATATGGTCATAAACTTATAAATTCTCATTTTTGAGTATCCTAACTACACTGTATTTCTGAAGAGATTACTCACTATTAAAGAAAAAAAAATCTTAACTCAGACCTAACATAAAACCAATTTCTGCAAATCAATAAAGCATACTTTAGACCAAAACCCCAGACACTTCCTACATGTAAGTTACACAAAAAATATCTCCAATCCTAATTTCCACAGTAACAAAGATAATGTAATGAATATTTGTTTTCCTATGGAGTTTCTTGATATACATACAACTATTAAAATGCAAAAGCCCTTCCCCAAATTTTACTCTTGACATATTATCCCATACAACACTATGAAAAAAATGAACAATCTTAGGTTTTTACTTGATCCAATTGAGAATTTAACCGTTTGTTAAATATATGTTCATTGGCTGCCTTAATAATACAATGGAAAGAGAAAAAAACAGGCCTTAAATAAAATATTTGTAACTTTCTTCAAGCAAAACAGATTCTTGAGTTTTTTACATAAGGCAACATAATTCTTGATCCTTTCAAAAGTTAAGCCTATTTCATCATATAGATAAAATGCATATGATCGCTTAATCCAACTAGAAGCCCATACTCAGTGGAGTATTTCCTTCGGCCTCAGTAAACTCTAGATCAGAATCTTAAACTTCACTTGTGGGTCAGTGATATTTTGCAAATTTTCATCTACTGGTTTGTCAATTCTGTTTAAAGAATGGAGACGGCTAAAGGAAAGAGAATTGGTGGATCATTTCAGAAATTATGTATTTTATACAACTATTATTTCTGTAATTTAATAAATACTAATCAATTCAAGAATGTGTAATATTCGAGCACTGGCAGTTGTATTGGAATGCAGGTAATATAGCACTAAAAATGTGTGTTGAATGACTTGACTGGGCTATAGAGGACATCTGGAACCATCTCCTCTATACCACTGTACTAGACCTCTATCTTAATGTATCCACCTTTGATTAGCCAAAAACTCTTGTAACAACCGCGCACAATTGTAAGGACTGTACTCCAAAACTGACAGAAAGAAAACAATATAGAAAATCAGATTAATCATTGAACACAATTTAAAAAAAGCATTAAACCTGCTAGATTTTACTGTAATGTACAAATTTAAAAGAATGTTAGTAAACAGTAGTTGTGAAACATAAGCAGAGCGGAGGCCTGCTTGTCTGAACAACAACTACAACAAAATCAACCTGCTTTTCTTACATTTACATATGCAAGCAAGTAAGCTTCGTTGACATAAAGTTCTCTTTGATACAAAAAATATGGTAGAAAGTCACTAGCTTATGTATTTATTCAAATATAGAAAAATAATCTGTTCTGCAAATGTTTTGAGCTCAGCTTCCCAGTGTTGCATCTTCTTTAATCCACTGTAGGCTCTAGAGTCTTTCTCTCTAGATAAATGGGAAGACTCCCCTTTGCATGAATTTCTTGCTGAGTGGACACTACACCATCACACAAACATATGTTTTCCAGCCAAATATCCTCATGGAATTCTCTTTCAAATTTGCCAGGGAATACCAGGGAATGAAGATAGGTTGAATATATCGGTCTTTGGAAATCAAACTAAACACGGTAGAGCAAATTACTGAAAACTAGCACTTAACAGATGAACCCCAGTTCATCCTGGAAGGAAGAATTATGAAAATAGACTTGTCTTGATTGTGGTGTTTGAAGGAACTACATAGAAGATACGAAACACTATGTAAATTATTCCTGTACAACATTTAATTCACTTCTCTTTATTTTCCTGCTGTATCACACAAATAGTCTCATTATACAGGTCAAACAGTTGTGCTTTGCAATCAAACGCAACAGAAACACACAACAGAAGATTGTGTACAGTACCAAAGAGTTAAGAAAATCACCCATTCTAAAATGCAGCATAAATTCTCTTACAAGTCTTCCTTCCTCTCCAGGGCCTTAAAAACAAGATAAAAACCTTTTTAATAAAAGAGATATTAAAAATAAAGTTTTAAATCAAAGGAGTGATTCATTCCTCCCCTTAATGGCAATGAAGCTGAATGAAGGTGAGCTATAAAAGCCTGCCCCTCCAAAAGTACAGACAAAATCAGAGTTTTAATGACCTTTCTGCCACTATGTTATAAGTATTATTTAAACCTCTAAGAGGCCCAAAGAGGAAAAAAACATGCCACATTACAACAGAAACGGGAACCACTCAGGTAATAAATGAGGACTAATGATTCAAGCACAACTGCTTCCAGGTGAAGTGCACTATCCTATGAAATATAATTAATTCTCCTACAACAGGCAGACATAAGACTACCTTATGGAACAGAGTGAAGCAATCTTTTTTTTTTTGAAATGCATGCTGTGGGAAGGCATTGCTAAATACCTTTACAACGAGCAAAGTTGGCTAAGATAGCCAACCATCAATTTAGTTATTTTTCACAACAGGCTCTGCTTGCTTCATGCACAAACCACAGCTTTACCAAAGATACAGTTTACTACTGTCCTGAATTGAGTAAAACTAAGACTTATAACATTCATGTCACTTTTTGTAGCAAAAAAAGATACCTACATAATTTTTGCCAAGTTTAAACAAAGCTGTTTTGCATTTTCTTTTTTGTTAGGGCAGTTTTATGCAAATTACACAAAAACACATTTTCAGTGGAACTATTTTTGACATTAAAAGTGAGTTGGATGAGACAGAAAACAGAATATTCTAAGATTTGACAAGCTGACAAAAGCTATTTCTCTCTTTCCTAAGAATGCATTTCCATATATAGTGGCAAGCCAAATCATGTTGGTCAGCTCTATATTACTTCTCAATCTTTTAGTTTCAGGCTTCCCTTCTGAAACTTTAGGTCTCTAGGACACTTTTAAAGACAGTTTAAAAGCATTAGTAAAACCATGATTCTGCAGAATTTAAAAGCTGAATTTGAAATAAAACCAAAATACAAATTCTGATATTTTTCTCCACGTTAGAAGAAAATACATAAGCAATAATGCTTAAAGTAGGAATACAGCAATACAGCTTTTAAATTTGTAATGGAAGTTTGAGTCAAGTTCACATCTATATAAAAGTGCAATTTCTATGACAGTAGGGCTAGAAGGACTCCAGTGAACACTGGGATTCTATTATATTAGGTGTCCTGCAATCACTTGGAGACTAAACTATTTTGCTTTTACGTACTTTTAGACTAAGTGTAAAAAAAAACCCCACAGCTAAAATAAGGTATTATCCCAAAGACAGGCAAAACTTAGACAGATTTACTTGTCTGAAGTAAGTATGTTCCCCTGATGCTTCCTACAGTCCTCTTATTCTGACTACACTGATCAGGAACTCATCTAAACGGTAAATATAGGTTCCTCGTAACTTGAGTGCATGAATGTTTTTCCCCATAGAAGCCCAGAGGTGACCAGGGCATACAAATGAAAACTGACACTAAGAGGTGCTTGATTCTACTGTTTAGTCATTGTCTACAGATGTTGTCTCATCACACAGTAATTATGTATATTTAGTTCCTTAGTTCTGCCAGAAGGTTCAGGCATTTCAATTACAGGTTACTTCAAAAGCTTTCTTCCTTTTTTTTTCTTTTGTCTTAAAAAAAATATTAAGAAGAAATTAAGATTTCTATAAACATTTGGAATAGTATGCTTCTTTCATTTAGCCACAAGGCATACCAACTTCTTTGTACAGGACACAAAACAGTTAAATACAGGCTCAGTTATACACAGGAACTGTAGACTCACTCAGCCATTAAACACAAAGAGAACAACCTTTCCTGGATTGGATAAAAACAGCATTTCAACTTAAGAACATGCCTAGATATACACATCTTAGCAGAAGTGGGTAATGTACCACCAATAACAGTAAAAAGTAGATTTGTCTTGTTTATTAAGAGGCAAGTAGGTTACTATGTAAACTGTGACCTCATGTTATGATTCATGCTATCAAAAAACACATGATCGGGGGGAAAAAAAATCCATTACTTTTGTAGTTAATTTTTAAGATGTCTTCTTTTTCGTGCAAATGAAAAACAGATGTAACCTGTTCCACATAAAAAACACACCCAAAGATACTTGTCTTATGATTTTATTTCTCTTCCTATTACAGAAAATAGACACAGAAATTTTTCTGACTCACATCTTCTCAAATATATATATATACAAACCTATTGCTTTGTACCTGCTGGTAAAAGACATTAGGACATGACTATAAATACACTATACAGCTTCAGGTAACCACTCAGAAGTTTGTAACCTTACCCCACCTATCCCCCCACTGCCCACATATTTGGTTATACTTTAGGGTTTTCCTATCATATATAAAATACCTTTTTGGTAGACTTTTCCCCCCCCCCCAGAGATGTTAAAAAAGATGTATTCTGTGAAAATGTAATTATTATTCATATTATTTTTTAAAAAATAAAAACAATCAGACTTGCACTTCACTAAATCGTTTTTATAATTATGCACTTAAACAAAACATGTAAACTAATTTGTTATGTTGACAAGCCTTCATTTGATTATTCCAGAGATTAACTGTAATGTAACCATAAACACAGAAAGGTAAAAAACAACCCCAAACAAACTCTGACTAGATTTTGCAACAATAAGCAGCGCTCTCAGAGGCTAAGAAAAAAAAGAAAATAGTTATTTACCATATCTTTTATGTGAATGAAA